AAATGGCAGGAAAGTGTTTTTTATAAATTATTAAGAATAACTCAAAACCTACTGTGCATACCTTGATCAAATTTTTATGGGACCACATGTGAAGCACCAGCTTTCAAATAAAAAAAGACACATAAAAAAACATACAGTCGAATTGGGTATCGTCTCCTTTGTGAAGTCGGTAGAAAAGATGCTGGAACTGTTTCATTCAATGCTTACGATCTATAATAAGCATGTGGTATAAAATAACCAACTGCCAATATTGTATTCAAAAAATGTGTGCATGGCTTCACATCATAACTTGGAAATTGATATTCAGAAAAACTACAATTTTGCTTATTTACTATCCTAAAATAGATAAATTAGATTTTTATACGTGGTAGAGCCATGCTGCAGCTATATTAGCACTATAGTTGTAGCACGAATGGGTCGGCTCGACCGGGGAAGGACCACGCTCTCACAGAAAACCAGCGTAAAATAGCAGCTTAACGCTGCTGTGTTTCGTATGGTGAGTGTAGAGAACCGGAGACCCTTTTTACTGGCGAAGAGGCATTCCAACTTAGTCCTCACAGGTGACAACGCATGTTCATCTTGACACTTTATTGAGGATAGATGTAGATGTCTATGGGTCACAGTAACCACTTACCATCAGGTGGACTGTGTGCTCGTTTGTCACCCTCTCCTATAAAAAAAAAATCTTTTAAAGAAAACACCGTTGTTTCTATACAATAACATATTGAAAATAATTATTAATTGAAAATTTTGTACAACCGACTTCAATATAAATTAGTCCGCTTTAGTACCTAAAAACTCTAATCTTCAAAAGTATTCGCCAGGTTTTGAAGCTTACCGTAATTGTATTTTGTAAATAATTTATAATAAAAAAAATTGAAGAAAAGAAAAGAAAAGAATTCTAAGTTCTTAATAAATAGCTCTTTTAGGATCATACATGTAAAACAAATACACCGTTATGAGAGACAGATAAGACCTTCAAGATCAATTCATCACTACTGGCAAACAATAGACTGATAACGTGACTAAATAAAAAGAAAGCCATTACTTTAATGACGGAAAGAGCTTTTCGTGACAATAATATGATGATAACACCGAAATAACGATTAAAGTCGGATTTTTACATTAAAAATTGTTACATAACATTTTTGCGTAATCATTTTGAAAAATAACTCGTCTTTGTTTGCTAAATAAACATTTCATTACAGCTCATCACAAGCCTACAGCTGAACGTAGATCTGTCCTATAGATTGCAGCATAGAGGGGGGATGATGTCATAGTTTTCACGCGTGGTAGGCGGGTCGGGCAATGAGGACATCCACTTTTTCTACCACCAGGGCGGCGCCACTTAAAAGTGAGGTATAATATTTGACAGATTTCTTAGCGGGAAATGTAAAGGTTAATGTTTCTTTCTGTACTATTTGTTTATATTTGGTATTAATAAGATTAAAAATAAATAAAACCACAGATATTCATAATGGTAGAAAAATTAAAAAAAAAGTTAAAAACGTAACAAAAAACTTCCGTCATAAAACCTCAGTGTCAACTAGCGACATCTGGTGAGCAGAAAATTATTAGCCCTTATTGTTATTAGCAATTTCCTATTTCGGTTTCCATCTATCGCCTTATAATATGACACTAACTTGTAGTGGATACTCTTATGCCGCCACCACACGGCTAGAATAAACATATTTATTAATAACTAGCGATACACTCCGGCTTCGCACGGGTGATTTCTGGATCTCAACAACAGGGCCACCTACCGGGTCTAATTGTGAATCTAAACCATTCCGGAACCCACTCAAACACACAAGAAATTTCATCAAAATCGATCCAGCCATTTTCTAGTTTTTGCGAGACTAACGGACAGCAATTGATTTTTATATATTGACAAATAATATTAAACAGTTTAATTTACGAGTAAAAAGGGGCAAAAAAATTCATGCTACAGAAGTGAGTAGCAGAGTTAGCAAGAGACAGTCTAGATGGAAGTTTATCGACCGAATTGGCGATATATTGAAGATTGGCCAAATTAAGCGTACCCTAAATCGACGAGTATCTAGAGATGCGTAGATATATGAATGTGTAAAAAGCGAGATAGGTATGCCAAAATCGTATTAAAAATGAATTAGAAGCCACCCAGAAGTGTAGTCTGTGCCTACTCCTCTTTGTGGTAGCCGTGGGAGTCTATCTATGTTTAATTCATGTACCGGACAAAATATTTTCGATATCTGGTAGAGCCACACTGCAGCTATACTGTGGTTGTAGTACGGATGAGTCGGCTCGACCGGGGAAGGACCACGCTCTCACAGAATACCAGCGTAAAATACTAGCTTAACGCTGCTGCGTTTCGTATGGTGAGTGTAGAGAACCGGAGACCCAAGGGTGACAACACATTTGCATTTTGATTCTTAATCGAAAATAAATGTAGATGTCTAAGGGCCGCAGCATCCAATTATAATTGGTTGAACTGTGTGCTCGTTTGTCACCCTTATTCTATAAAAAAAGGAATGTTAAAGACAGCATTGGAAACTTAACGTAAATCTACATATTTAGGACTTCTTGCTATTCTACCACTTCTACACTTAAATCGACGTATTTTCAATAAAGTTCGTAAAAACCATAAATTTTCGTTATTTTGGTTGTATGTATGATAAGTTGATATGATAAGCACGCTACTCAATCTCTGCCTTTTTCTTTTTTATGATAATTTTTACTGATTTGATAGCTAGGTTCAAAATATACCATCAACAAATTAATTTTGATGATATATTTCTTAAAATTCTATTGATGTATTTCTTACATTTGTAAAATGATTGATCTAGGTAAATATTAATCCCTTTCCTTATATTATATGCAGGGAACAAAACATATATATTTAAAAATAGTTTTATTGTATTTCAAGCTATATACCTATGAACTTTCTAAGTACAGTTCTTACAAAACTACGCAATTTATAACTTTTATTCTGAGTCGTTATCAAAATCCAAGATGGCAACACTAGTTGAATAAATCTTATCGACTAGACCAGAAAAAACAATTCATCTACTTCTTGGCACCAGCTGTGCCAAGCGGTGTGCGTTACCTGGCGGTGCAACTATTTATAGATCATCTATAAAATAGTTATTATTAAGTTTTCCACTGATTTTCACACCTTGACCCGAACTCTTGAGATGGGAGGCCACAAAACTTGTTTACGTGGGCAGCGTTCCCTTAGATCTACTGACATTTCTCTACCGACTTCAAAAAGGAGGAGGTATTCAATTCGAATGTGTTTTTTTTTGTTTTATTTATGTGTGTTATCATACCTCATAACTTTTTCCTGGGTCAAACGATTTCGATCATTCTTTTTTTATTTGAAATCTGGTGCTACTCATGTGGTCCCATATAGATTTGATCAGGGTCTGATAAATAGTTTTTGAAGAGAGAAGTCGGCTGTACAATTTTTTTATTTTGAATTATTTACAAAGTACAATTACGGTAAGCTTCAAAACCGGGCGAATACTTTTGAAGACTAGAGTTGTTTTAGAGACTATTATAAAGACCTAAAATTTTTACGTGGTATAGCCATGCTGCAGCTATTATGGTTGTAGCACGAATGGGTCGGCTCGTCAGGGGTAGGACCAGGCTGCCACAGAATACCAGCGTGATAGCAGCTTAATGCTGCTGTGTTTCATATTGTGAGTGTAGAGAATTGAAAACCCTTTTTACTATGAACGAAGCATTTCATCCTTGTACTCAGTGTTGAAAACGCATCTGAACTTTCATTCTTAATCGAAAATAGATGCAGAGGTCTATGGGCTACAGCATACGCATACCGTCAGGTGGGCTCGTTTGTCACCTTATTTTTTTTAAATACACTAATAACACACAGTGTACTCGTCGATTTAGTAAGATTAATAAAGATATTACCGATATGTGATTGTTATTTAAGTTACGTGGGTCAAAAATCTATCCACTTTTTCTATCTAACTATCAATTATAATAAAAATAACAATTAAGTATTGACGGAAACAGAAAAAAATATAACCTGGTACATTTATATTTTTATTTTTTTACTTTGTTATTATTTGGTGTAATTTAGTTTAAGTTCAGAACATATTATGTGCAACATTATTTTAATTATTCTGAATAATCAAATACCTAATACTATACATATAGATACCTAATGTGTAAATAGTGAACCAGCACAGCTCATTGCCAAACGAAACATAACGAGATTAAAAACTACCCCAACAACGGTATGAGTAGGGCAACTCTGTCGATAAATTAAAATCATTTGGAAGGCCAACTTTAAAAAGAGTTTTTATATACTTATTTAAATGAAAAAACGTTACCCCCACACCAGGATTTTCTCCTGTACCGCGGAGGCAGTTTACACTTACAAATTTCACAAAGAGAAATATCCAGACCCAGAACAATTATTTAATTATTTAATACGCCATACAAATACTCGTTTCGTGTGGGATTCGAACCCGCAGTCCTCAGTGCCGCAACCCAATACAAAGCCACCGCGCCACGGCGCAGTTAGTTTTGTTAAAAATGTTCGCACTAAATGAAATTTCTACCGCTTATCTTCCTTGCTGCCAAAGTTTTTTTTTTTAATAGAATATTAATAATTAACGAGCATACTCCACCTGATGGTAAGTGGATGCTTTGGCTATCTATCCTCGTTTAAAAATCAATATGTAGATGCATTGTCATCCCTAAGGACTAAGATGAAATGCCTCGATCGCAGTAAAAATGGCTATTTTTCAATAGGCTAGCACATTCGTGCTACAAACATAATATAGCTGCAGCGTGCCTCTACCACGTTTGCAAGAATAAATCGTAATTCTATTATCTTACTTATTTGTTGAAATGTAGTAAACATCTAAAAATTCTAATTGAAGTAAAAGATATATTGCAGAATTTTGTTATCTAATTATTGCGTTAAAAAGGGAAAATTGGATATATTTTATTGTTTTAAAAAGTACAAAACAAGACAATTAATTACAAACCTAGAGTTGTACTATCGCTTATATCTTCGTTATTTTTGGCACCGTTCATCTCTTATTCTCATATATCACTTCAGAGCGTTCTACCAGACATCCCTTATCTTTATAATGTGTACGTAATGTTACCTCTTCTTAGTAACGATAACTGATAGGCACACCACTAGATTAACTTCGACCACTTCATTATTTTAAAAGTAAACACTATTTTAATTAATATTTAAAGTAATGTCTCTGATTTTTTAATATACTTAATAAATTTGTAAAACTTAAAGAACAATATTTTTAGTAAAATAATTTTAACTTTATTCTTGTAATACGTACGTCGAACTCGCGCGCTTTTTACGGCACTAAAAAAGAACCTAACTCACAACCTTTCTCGCGCCAAATTGACGCGTAACTAAATAGACCGGCATAAATTCATTCAACTTCACGAGCACAGCATCCATCTTTTTCTTTCAAGTGCTTTTATGAATGTTGTTATCTTTGTTTCTCGCTTCCGCCTGATGAACCCTATTGAGCTCGTTAGTCATTAATTAATTCTGCATAAGAAAATTACTTTTAATTTAAACGGTGCACAGATGTGACCGAGACTGAACTAAGAAAAATATTTTACATTGGTCAACTGATACTTCTTGGGCGGCCTTATTGTTTTTGACGTGTTTTTATTGTAGCGAAAGCTGTCGGAAATCTTCGTTTTGTTTATTTATCTATTCAAATAGGTACATGTTTTTAAATAACTGCGATAATACATTATATAGTTTCTAAGTCGACGAATCGTGAGGAAATCTATATGTTTGAGAAATAAAAAAACATATTTTGAAAATTTGTGGTTCACCAACAAAAAGACTGTCGCATGGGACACTTTTCCCTGCTCCAAAACCCAAAACCCTCACAGAAATTAGAGGCATTTGCCCGTCAGTGGGACGTATGTATGTAAGCTGTTACTTTACTTCGTATGTCTACAGACACACATGATTGTAATTTATTTAAATTGTTCACCATACAAATAACTTTTTATTTATCCTATGTACCTTCTCTCTCTTTTGCTCTTACTTCTCATTATTCTGAAAACTTTGTGACCGCTCTACACGGACCTTATGGGATAAAGTTTTGCAACAATTGCCATGAAATAAGTACTGACAGATGAATTGATGATCTACTAGATGCATCTTTGACACTGCATCCAACATAACATAATCTTCAGAAGCTTCAGAATCGTATTAAGCTATGTAGATGCCCCCAGGGCAATGCGAGTGTCGGTTCTATCTCCCTTTTCATACCTATCCTACATCACGTAAAAACATTTTTTTTCTAAAAACGCGAGGCTCTGAATCGACGCGACAGAACCCATAGGCAGTAAGGCCTAATTGAGCTGCTTCCCGGGTCGTCGTGACGATTCCCGTCTCCTTTAACAACGAAAAAGGAATGGGAGTATTATCATTAATAATATTATTATATACTAACTTAATCAGCAAATAATAACTTCAATAGCACTGGGTGCTACTAATTGTTGGCGAACAAAGCTATGGCAACCGGCAAATGGTGTTATAACCTTTCTTTTTTATTAGCCGTAATAATATTTTCTCCATCGGAAAAAGCATTTGCCATTAGCCGAACGTCCACGGCAAATTAAACTAACTAAAAAAAAACTTTATAGTTTATTTTAGCTCGCATAGCTGAGCCAGTTTTCGTACATTTGGCAAACTATATGCCAGCCAAGATAGGTAAAATAGGCAAACTAAGTGCACTGGTGATGCTCTATACACCGGCCGTGCCAATACTTCTCGGGAAAACGTCACCGAGTATAGGAACAAACTTGTGTCTGAAGTCTAGTCTTTGCTGAACAAAGTCTCGGATTGGGGGCTACTAAATCTAGTACAGTTTAATCCTCAGAAGCACAAGTTGGCGCGTTTACCGCTAAAAAGAAAAACCCCTTTGTCGTATTTCCTCAGTTTGAAGGCACTCCCCTTGTTGCCTCAGCCAGTTTCGGAATCCTCGGCGTCGACATATCGAATAACGTGCCGTTTCGTGGTCACTTGGAAGAAAAGGCCAAATTGGCCTCCAAAAAGCTTGGCGTGCTCAGCAGAGCGGGACAGTATTTCATGCCGGCACAACGCCTGTAACTTTACAAGGCGCAGGTTCGGCCTCACATGGAATACTGTTCCTATCTCTGGGCTGGGGCTCCCCAGTGCCAACTCCTTCCACTTGACCGCATCCAGCGCAGAGCGGCTCGAATCGTCGACGACCGAGTCCTTTCCAATCGGCTCGATTCATTGGCGCTGCGAAGAGATGTTGCATCCTTTTGCTTTTTCTTTCGCATTTACCACAGGGAGTGCTCCGAGAAATTGTTCGGATTAATCCCAGCCGCCAAATTTCACGAACGCACATCGCGGCAGAACTCCCGATACCATCCACACCATCTGGATGATTGGCGGTCCACCACTGTGCGATTTAGAAGATGTTTTCTTCCTCGCACAACTTCCTTGTGGAATAGTTTACCACCAGCGATTTTTCCGGACCGGACTTAGGGACCTTCAAGAAAAGAGCCTACTCCTTTTTAAAAGGCCGGCAACGCATCTGCAATTCCCCTGGTGCCTCTGGTGTTGCAGTTGTTCATAGGCGGCGGTAGTTACTTACCATCAGGTGAGCCGCATACTCGTTTGCCCCCTCTCCTATAAAAAAAGTAAAACTAACTTAGTTATGTAGGCCGATCCGAAACTACGCGAACTAAGCCAAGCGTCTCTCACCCTCTTACCTTACCCCTCTAGCGCCATTCGCTTAGTGAAGTTTGTTTTAGCCTATTTTTCGGTGGACGTGCAACGATTTTCCAGGTTAGCTTAGCTTAGTTCACTGAGCCTAGTTTTTAATTAATAGTTTAGTTCGCTGTAGACTTTCGGCTATAATCGCCACGTTCAGCAGGCGTATTAACGATCACAGTCCCAGAAGACACCTACGATGCTGCTACCGGTCGCCGGCCTGGATATCTTGCAACTGGCACATAAGGGACGGTAGGTATACCGCAATCGATTGAGGTAGACTATTCTGGAATTTTTCAGAGCCTCTTACGACAACCAAGTGGGGAAATAATCCCAGCAAAAATAGCTATAGGTATGTCTATTCGAAAACTTCTTCTTCTTCCTGCTCTCATTTCAAATTATTTGGGCTCAACATAGCGTGTCTTTCTCTTCCAATATCTGTCATCTCCTCACTCACTCCTTTCTTACTTATATCATCCCACATCAATCCGACTTTTCTTAACTCTCCCTCTACTCTTTTACCCGTCCACTTTCATAGATGGTTCTTCTTTCATAGAAGAACTATATCTATATCAAAACACCGAACCTAAATACTACAGATCGGTAATGGTGTGAGATTATTAATGTGACAGTATCAGCTTTCCACTCTGGGCTCACCGGTCTGTACTGCATAGCGTAAGCAAATCTTTTTTACTTGTCAGACGGTACAATCTTGTTTAGGCATGAATCCAGCAGTAGATTTAGCGAGTCTGATAAAAAGAATAAGTGTTGAATGTAGCATCAGACACAGGTAGTAAAAAAAACCTACCGTGAAACCTGGCATCTTTGCCATTTTTGGAAGGATTGAAAGGAATCAAGTTGAGGACCAATTTTCCAACAAAAATGTACTGTCAGACTGGGCGCCAATGTTAAATATGACATTATATTCATAAGTTTGGTATTTATTAGTGATTTAAACAAATACTAAATAATAGTAAACATTAAATAAAAAAAAACATTAGATAATAAACATTAAATAGACAAAATACTCAAAAATAGAAAATGGCAAAATTAACCTCACTATGTGGCAACTTTGCCATCAGGGTTTATAATGAAAATATTAGGATTTTTGACTACAAGGTTGAAGATAAAGTTTACCTCATAATATAATTAACGATAATATAATACACAACACTCAGAATTATAATTGGCACGTTTTATTGTGTTGCAAATAGCAAAATTTACGCTTGTGGAAAAGTTGCCCTCCCATTTTTCAACTTTTATGTCAGGGTTGTCAAAATCCTTGATTCCTTGATTACATACTTTACTTAATTTTATTTATTTTATATCTTGTCTCAATAATTTCTTAAGCAAAAATCTAAAATGTATCAAACAAAAATACTCTCGTCCAAAATTTAAAATCAAATCTGACGGCTCGGTATCACAGTGGCTTAGCAACGAGTTGCAGCGCTAAGGGCCGCGTGTTCAAATCCCGCACGGTACAAGTATTTTTATGGCCTACAAATTATTGTTCTGGGTCTAGATGTTTGTCCTTGTGAAATTTATGTATGTAAACTGCCCCCGCGATTCAGGCGAAAATCGTAGTGTGGAGGTAACTTTTAAAAAGATAAGCTTAAATAAAGTATAGTATACTTAGATTAAAAAAGTATGTTACAGTAATTTTTACCAAGTATTCGTTTTTTATTAATCATCAAATGATGTCAGGTATAAAAATAATTATTGTAATCAATCTAAATATTGTTTTCTCATAATAGCAAAACATTCATAGATATTCGTTTAAAATGACATTGTTTTTGGGTGCAAATTAATATCAATAGTCTAAGTTGAAATTATGAAAAATACCGGGTAGTAATAACTATTTGTCGGAAATGACAACAGGAGATCCCACTTCTGGTGTCGGAGATTACAACAGAGGATCCCGCTTGTGGTCTCGGAAATACATCAGGATAGCGTTAATTGTTACAAATAATAAAAGTGAGAGCGGATGTTCAACTTGCTCTCTTGCTTACGCAGTTTAATCATTGTCAGTAATAAGACAACTTAACGCACTATACATTCAGTATAGTGAAATTACAGTTCGACCGCACCGTAACACGTCTCCGCCACAATCACACACCAGTGTAACGTGAGGTACCTAATTACATGATAACACCTAAATATGTAAACAAACAGCAACACTACTATCTCAATGTAACACAGGTCAGCCTCTCAGCAACACCAAACCTCTTTGTCTGCACTAGAAGAATTACAACAACTAACAGAACCACGACACTATCTTAGCACTAGTAGAATGACCACACTCGTTGAATGACTTTGGCGGAATCTCTTGCGCACGGCACCTACAGTGAACTTTATACTGCACAAACAAGCGGGGGTTTCTCGATATACCCTCGATTCCACCTCGATCCAAGTGATATTTTATAGACACTCCGACATATTATTATTGCCCAACAACGCAGGAAAAATAATATAGCATTATCTTTTCTTCTCCTTCACTTTGACAAAAATGAATCGATAAACGACTCATTTGGTAAAATCAGTCTAGTGGGCTGCTACGGTGAAACATGCAAACGTGGTAGAGCCACGCTGCAGCTATATTATGGTAGTACCACGAATGGGTCGGCTCGACCGGGGAAGGACCAC